TGTGAGATGGTGGTGGTTATTCAGTCGCCAAGCTGTGTCTGACTCTTCACGACTGCATCTCACCAGGCTTCCCTGTCCATCACCGTTTCTTGGAGTTTGCTCAAGTTTCATGTCCTTTGCCTCGGTGATGCCATCCTACTATCCTGTCCTCTGTCACCCTCTTCTCCTTCTGCCTTTAGTCTTTCCCAGCATCAGAGTCTTTTCAACAGTCAGCTCTTCACTTCAGGTGGCCAAAGTATTGGAGCTTCAGCTTCAGTCCTTCAGTGAATATTCATGGTTGATTTCCTTTAGGCTTGACTGGTTTGATCTCGTTGCAGTCCAAGGAGTCTTCTCCAACACCACAGTTCAAAAGCATTGATTTTTTGGCGCTCAGCTTTCTTTATAGTACAACTCTCACAACCATCCATGAGTACTGGAAAGACCATATCCTTGACTATATATAGACCTTTGTCGACAAAGTGATGTCTTTGCTTTTTAGCACACTGTCTAGGTTTGTCATAGCTTTTCCTGCATTTCTCTAATAATTAGCAAATCGAGCATCTTCAGATTTTGGTATGGGGGGGTTCTCTAACCCCACATGTACCAAGGGATGACTGCACTCTTCTGTTTCATTAAGTACAAAGGAAAAGTCAGATCTTGATTTTAAAAGGTTAATGGACTTTTTTCTCATTCTTACATAATTATTAGAAGAAAGCTCAATATACCAATTTAATATACATGTTAACCCAGGGAACACCATTTCTTCATCATACTCCTTGTTTTGTAAATAATTTCTGGTTTTAGTTACACATTAAATTTTATTATTACAGATCAATTAATGAGAAGCAACATATTGATCCATCTTTTATCTGTTTTAAATTACTAGATGTATATAATTTAAATACTTGTTTAATTACTTTCAGTAATCTATCTTACAAAATGTATTCTGTAATATACACCTCCTTGAAATGAATGTTAACACTTTTATTAGAATTTAAAAATGAAGTCAGGTTGTTTTGTATGGAAAATGTGTTTGACTTACCTGATTAATTTGATAATAACATAATCAAGATTTGATAAGATATGTAAGATACTGATTTAATAATTAAGTCACATTCTAGTTATAGTGCAAACTTTTCCATAAATTGAATCAGCTAAATGTGTAGCTTCAGTGTTTTTATGAAAATTTATTGAAAGCACATTGTAAGATGAAATAATTTTTCCAAATAGTATTCTTTTGTCAGAGGTATAATGAAGTTAACAAGATTTGATTTTTTTCAATCCTTTCTGAGTTTTAGAGGTTAAGTAAAGTTCTGATAAGTGAAACAATAGCAGGTGTGATTAACTTGAGAAGTTATGGTAGAGTCTTTGGCCTCTATCCAGGAAGCTGAGAAAATGAATGCTCTATGACCTGGGTTACATTCCTTTTGCCAGTCAGGTAGTTTCCAGTTTTTGCTTTCAGGAGACCTAATTGATTCATTAGCTTATAGAGCCTTAAAAATAATGTCTAGTATTAGATCATTCTTTTTTTTTTTTTGCTGTGTACCATGGCAGGAGTGTGAAGATTTGAGTGACGTTACTATAACAAACCTCCTTCCAGTTCAGTCCTCTTACATATTTTAGCAAGATTTTCAGTGCTTCTCGTGTGTGCTTGGTCTCTTCCGACTCTGTGACCCCATGGACTGTAGCCCACCAGGCTCCGCTGTCTCTGGGATTTCCCAGGCAAAAATGCAGGAGTTTGCCATTTCCTACTCCAGAGGATCTTCCGGCCCAGCAAGCACACCCGCGTCTCTGGTTTTCTCCTGCGCTGGCAGGCAGCTCCTTCACTGGCGCCATCTGGGAAGCCCCTTCAGCGCCTTACTCTGTGCAGAAGAAAGCAGTACCATGAATGCTTAATGCCAGCTCATTTCAGTAGTAAGTTATAGTAATCCCATGGACTCGTTTCATTATAAGATGCGTTTCCATTACAGTTTTTACTTAATTGTGTTTATCAAAATTTGTGATGTATTTATTTTGCTCTAGTTAATTATGTGCTACTAATAATTGTAGTGATAACTCAATGCAGAAGAAGAGTAACCTGAGAAATTTAAAGTTTTAATTTATATAGATATTTTTGCAGAAGAGCCTGATAGAGGGCTAACAAAAGACTTTACATTAGGATAAAATGTTTTGTGCAAACTATCAATAGAATGGAATTTAGAGACCGAGTGTTTCTTTTTCATTGCCTTCAAATTTTCAAGTCAGTTCAGATGTTGGATAGATGACTTCACATCAGTGGGTGACTTGATGGGAAAGAAGTAAAGGTATGAAATTTTTGGCTATTAAAGAAAAGAGTTTTTTCATTTAAAAAACAGTGGATTGTATGAACAATAAAATATCATTATTTAAATTTATATAAATTTATGGTACTTGGATTCCAGTGGGTAAATTTAAGAAATTCTATTTAAAAATATAAAAATTCAGGAGTTCTTTGCAACTATTTAAACCCATTTTTGAATAACTTTATATGACAACTTAAATGTATGAGGAGGTTTTTTTAGGGGGTACATGATCAAAGAAATTTTTGAAGACTATTCCAGGTATGTGCATACCTAAGTTTATTAGTCTTAGACATATATTCATTGACTCCCTGAAGAAGATTTTAGCTTAAGATGTACAAGCTTTTTAACCTCTTCTCCTACTGTTCAATTTTTATATTTAATTTCTTCTACTGTCATTTCAGGCTGCCTGGCTAGCTCAATAGGTAGAGCATGGGACTCTTAATCCCAGGGTCATGGGTTCAAGCCCCATTTTGGGCAGTTGCCCAAAGAATCTGCCTGCAATGCAGGAGACCTGGGTTTCAGTCCTTGGGTCGGGAGGATCCCCTGGAGAAGGAAATGGCTATTTCCTTCAGTATTTCAGGAAATACTTCACCCCTGAAGTATTTCCTTCACTCCAGTATTCTTGCCTGGCAAATTGCATGGACAGAAGAGCCTGGTACAGTCCATGGGGTTGCAAAGAGTTGGACACAACTGAGTGACTAACACTTTCACCTTTCATAGTCATCTCTGTGGTGTTTTTACAGAATATATTAACTTGTACTTTGAACATTGTCTCTTCATTCCTTCTTTACCAAGATGAGATCCTGCCCTTCCCCCTTTCTATGTCCTCTTATAGCCCACTTGCTTTATTCATAAGTTGACGTTATTATATACATATATATATGTGTATCCATCCATCCTTCCATCCATCTACTCTTTTACTGGCTTCTCTGCCCATCCGTCCGTCTGTCTATCCCTCTGTCTCAGTGCTGGACCAAATGGTGTGTTAGATTTCCTGTCTTTCTCTGGGATTGTTATCAGAACTGGTTCATAGGCTATTTGATGGGGTTGTTCTAGCATAAAGTTAAAATAAATTTCTCTTTTTCTTAAATTCAGTCAGTTGGATCAGATTGTACCACATTTTAAGCCATGACTCACTTGAGTAAGCTTTTTATTTTTCCTGCGGTTTTGTTTACTTTTTAACTGTGTCTTTGGTGATTTATTCGCTAAGTTGTGTCCAATTCTTGGCGATCCCATGGACTATAGCCCACCAGGCTCCTCTGTCCATGCAGTGAGTTGGCATTTCCTTCTCCAGGGGATCTTCTGACCCAGGGATCAGACCCAAGTCTCCTGTGTTACAGGTGGATTCTTTCGCCCCTGAGCCACCAGGGAAGCCCCAGTTCTGTCTTCAGCATATTCGTAACTTTTTCTCTTTCAGATCCTTAGCTATACAATTTTATTATTTCCCTCCAAAGATCTTTGTCTCTGAGCCTTCTGTCTTATGGTTACTCTCTAGATAACTGTTACCTGAAATTCAGTGGGGAAGAATTAACATTTTCTGGCTCTTTTACATTTTTAGATCATGGTTTCTTAAGGAAACTGGTAGTTTAGAGTCTAATATGTAACAATAAAGGAAGGACAAAACGCTGACAGAGAATATGCATAGGAAAAGTAGTGTCTGGAGAGGCTTTGAAAAATGAAAGTGAAGTTGCTCAGTCATGTCCGACTCCTTGCGACACTGAACTGTAGCCCGCCAGGCTCCTCCGTCCATGGGACTTTCCAGGCAAGACTACTGGGGTGGGTTGCCTTTTCCTTCTCCAGGGGATCTTCCTGACCCAGGGATTGAACTCAGATCTCCTGCATTGCAGATAGGCTCTTTACCATCTGAGCCACCAGGGAATACCTGGTGAGGGATTATTTATCAGGAGAGATTTTATTTTAGGTAGGATATAGTGATGGTTAACCTAACTCCTAGTCTGTCATTTCAGTAGACATTCATTGGACGCCTACAGTCTGGAAGGGCTAAGTGTAAGCGCCGAGGTGCGAAGGTGAAGGAGCTGGGGTGGGGGCCGGGATGGAGGTATAGTGTAGTGCCTGTTACAAGGAAGCATATTCAAGGAGTTCTGGGAACCTTGTGTTTTCACCTTTAATTGCTGTAATTCTCTTATGCCTTCCGATAAGCGTGATATAACTGTGCTCATAGTGTCCCAAGACACAGGGGTGTTTTAGATAGGAAACAGGTTTATGAACATCAGTGAGGATCCAGTTGTTACCCATAAGAGAGAAGGAGCAGGAAGAGATAATATTAAAAAATGCCACCAAACTTTACCATTTATTTTTAATGAACAATAGATTCGAATAATATAGCAAAGTACAATGAACCATCTTGGAGGGATGTGTCTTGACAGCCCTCCACCCTGGAAAAAAAAAATCATACTATTGCAAGTGAATTTTTGACTAATGGAAGATCTTAAAACTAGGCACCCTTAGTGCCTTATCGCCTCTGGACCAGCTCTTACTCTGGAATTTTTTCCAAACTAGTTCACCCGAGAGAAGAATAAAACCTTTGCACCATCTTGCCTCCGTAGCCAAAAGGCATTCATCATCTTCTACTTTTGAAATCTCTCTGTTGAGATTTTAGGAAATCCACACACAATATCCCCTCTTCACTTGGTACTTATTCTGTGCCAGGTCCTGTTCTAATCCCCATCGCGACCCCCGATGTCGGCTCCCTCATTGTCTGCGTTTTACAGGTAAGGGGAGCTGGCGTACAGACAGGGTAGCTGTTTCTCAGGTCGCACAGCGAACGCTGCAGCTGGGATTCAAAATCAAGCAACTTGATTCCCGAGCCCAGTCTCTTTACCACTGTAAACTCTGAAAGGTATGAAGAAATACTGACTTAAACTTGTAGAATGCTTAAAAAAATTTTGGCAGTTCCAGAAAGTTGTACACAAGCAAATTTCTTAAGCAAGTCTCTTTTTCACCTCTCTGGGAAATGGAAATACCAGTTAATGTTTGGCTGTATTGTCTGGTATTGCTGACACACCTGTGTTTGTAGGTGAGTGTACAGAACTAATGTGCAAGTATTCCTCTTGTATACAGTACCTGTTACCTATGTTGTGTGCAGATTGAATTTTAAACTTCAGTTCATATCCTCATTTACTATTTGATTTCCAAGAGTCTAAATTTGCATTCAAAAGCTTCCAGTGCTTTTCTCTTTGTCCTTCAAGCTAATGTATTCTAAGATTGCTGTTTCTTTCTTTAAGACAGTTTAGTTCAGTTAAGAATACCCTGAATTCTGAAGCCATACTGCTTCTTAAGAGTTAGCTGGTTGTATCTTGGAATATGAGAGAACCAAAGGATGTCGGTGTTTTCTTTTCTAAACCGTTTCCCATGTTGTGTGTCATCCTTCTGCCCCACTCTGTGTTGGACAAAAAGTGATGGGTTTTGCCTGTTCGTTAGGTAGGCTGGACAAATCTTCTCTACCTGCACCCCCTTGCAAATGTATAACTTAGTCTCCTGGGACTACAACATATTTCCTTAAGGTTTCTTTGCCTAGTCAGGAAACCAGACTTCATGAAGGAGAGAAGAACAGAAACAAAGTCTTGAAAAAATAATGCAGATAAGGTTGAGCCATGAAAGAAGACTCAGCATTGCTCTCACATGACCTACATGTTTTTGATTGTGTCACTTCAGCAGAGTATTGCTTCTGCCTTGGTTTGAATCTTTAAGCTGCTTGTTCAAGTCAACAATTAAATATTAATCTTGCTGAGCCTCAGTTGCCTCACTTGTAAAATGATGATAATAAAATCTATTCTTTAGGGTTGTTGTGGAGATTAAAGAAAATAACACATGGAATGCAGTGTGGACCTGATAAGAGCACAAACCTGTATTGAATCTAGATCTGAACCCTCATCTGTCTAGTTCCCAAGCCACGTTCTTTCCATACCACATAGGGTATTGCACGGTGGCCTGAAGCAGATTATGTAGGTGATTGCCTGGTTCCTGAAGTAGCAGAGAGGTTTGATGAGGTTAAGTGACCACTGGGCTCACAATACTAAAGCAGGGCAGAATGAAAACTGAATGAAGGGTTTGTAATTGCTAGTGTAAAGTACTTTTCCCTACAGTATCATGCCATGGAGACAGTGTCTTTGATATCTATTGATCTGTTATCTTATCAACTATATTGCAAGCTTCTTAGGGATTTCAGCTCTGAAGTCCTTGGTGCCATCCGATTATAGGCCTGAAATAGTTAGACGCTCAAGGTAATGCAGTAAGGATGACTTGGGCGTATGGACTCCAGTGTATGTTTTGAATCATTCAGTGTGGACATTAGAAATTAAATAAAATTTACTAAAATTTTTACATACTGAGCTTGATCCAAAAAAGATTGACCTAAATTTCAGATGGGCAGTTTTGCACATATGGATCATAAAACAGATAGTAAATATGAAGTTAAATCGATGCTGACCATATGACCAAGCAGTTTTATTCTTAGGTGTCCAAGAGAGAGAAAAATTAATGTCTCCACAAAAACTATGAAGAAAGTAAAAAGTGGTTAAAGAGGTAAAAGCAGTGAACAAAGTAATGGAAATGGTCCAGAGGAATAAGCATGAATGAAAAGGAAACAGTGTGTACTTGACCAGGAGTTTGTCAGTTCTTAAACTAGTCTGAAAATAGGGATAGAGACTAGATTGTGAGAATTTTCCTGTTCTTTTAAGTGAAATATAAACACATGTTAAGACTCTTGACCTCTTTGGTCATTGTGGACATACAAATTAATATCAGCAAGATGCCACATCACATCCTCTTGAATGACTGTAAATGTAAAGCAGACACTGCTAAAAGATGGTGAAAGGTGTGGGGCACCTGTGACTCTGACTTGTTGCTGGTGGGCATGTAACCTGGTACACACATTTAGGAAAAGGGTTTGATTGTTTCCTGTAAAGATAGATACACACTTACCCTATGATGCAACAGTTCTTTGGTTAGGTATCTATACTTGCGTATATTTGTAGAAATAAAAATAAACATCTATACAAAGATTTGTTCTTGATTGTTCATAGCAGCTTTGTTCATTGTAGCCCCAAACTGGAAACAATCTAAAATTCCTGTCAACTACCAGGAGTAAAAAGGAACAGGGAACTGATAACAAGATGATGAACCTCACAACATGCCCGAGTTTGGGAATTCCCAGGTGGTCCAGTGGTTAGGACTTTGCTTCCACTGCAGGGGCACGGGTTCAGTCCTTGGTCAGGGAACTAAAATGCTGCATGCTGCATAGTGCCATCCAACAAACAAATGAACAAAATCATGCCTGAGTGATAGACACCAGATGCGAAAGACCACATATTGTATAATTTCGTTTATATGAAATGTTCACAGAAGAATGACTGAAAGCAGATATAATTGTTAAGTGGTTGCTTAGGGCTGGGAGCAGGACCTGGGACTGAGTGTAATCAGGCTTGAGGAAACTTTCCTGAGTGACAGAATTGTTCTTAAACTAGATTGGGGTGGGGGGTGCACAACCCTGTACATTTCCTAAAAGTCAGTGAATCGTTCCCTTAGAATGGATGACTTTATGGTATATAAATTATGATGTCAATAAAACTGTTAAAACTACATAGATATGTAGAATATATTAGGTAATTTATGTCTTAAAAACTGTTGCATTTTTTTTTAAGCTCTTGCATTTTTAAAAGACATCAGAATTGGTAACTCTTAAGAAAATGCCAAGGTTTAACTGAACTCTCCCTTCTCTGTGATTTATTAGTACTTAACTCCTCATCCAATCTTCCTTTAGCCTCCAGTTGAGAGCCAATTTTTCCTTGTTAACCAATTGGCTAGTTCAAGAAACCCGGGTTACTGTGCTGATGCATGCGGTTTAAGGACTTCTTGCTATCTAATGTACGGGTTTCCGGCTTTTGCTGGTCCAGGCATATTTGGTTCCTCAAAATATCTATGTCTACAGCTTATTTTCTTGAGCTGTGCTATGCAACATGTGGGATCATAGTTTCCCAACCAGGGGTCGAACCCCACACCCCTGCGTTGGAAGCACAGTCTTAACCACTGGACCACCAGGAAAGGCCCGTANTTGGTTCCTTAAAATATCTATGTCTACAGCTTATTTTCTTGAGCTGTGCTATGCAACATGTGGGATCATAGTTTCCCAACCAGGGGTCGAACCCCACACCCCTGCGTTGGAAGCACAGTCTTAACCACTGGACCACCAGGAAAGGCCCGTACGCTTCCTCCTTAGGCTGAAAAATGCCAGCACTGTATGCTAATGGCCTCAACTTACGCTTTAATTCTTGATCCTTTTCCTCTTTCCACATCCTCACCCTTTTCTTCAAGATCAAGGCTTTTAAAATTCATTTTACCTTCCCTATTACTCCTTTGCCTATTAAAATCAACAGTGACAAACATGGAAATGATGGAAGTATGGTTTATTTCTAGTGACATAAAGCATTTCTTTTGGGAAATGTTACGAGGTAAACATTACAACACAATTCCTGCTTCCAAAAAAAGCAAAAGGCTGCATAACGGTGCACTGAGGGATAGGTGTCTCATTTTCCTTTGAATTTCAGGTTTTACTTTTAGTAAAAAAAAAAAAAAGGCAGACTATTTGCGTCTGTGACATGTAGCAGTTAAAGTGAAGTTAGTTTTTGGGAGAAGAGATGAATATTAATACTGTAATTGAACTTGATTGAAAATACACTTTCAAATTTGACTTGAAAGCTTACAGTGAAAGTACTCTGTTCATCCTGTGACGTATATTTTTTAATTTTCTAAGTTATAGCCAAATATCGTATTTCTTATTGCTTTATTCTCTGACATTTAGCATTATTTAATATTTAATGCTTTCAGCACTTCCCTCCGAGGGTGCCCCGGATGAAGTTTCTTTTAATGAAGAACAGGAGTGTTGTGGTTCGTTAGTGATGTTCACCATGTGCTTGACCTGGGAAAGCGGCTGGCTGAGTGCCTTGAATTTGCCACCAGCAGCAGCTTGAATGGGGGCTTTGAAGCAGGCAGACACCAGTTTGAATCTTAATTCCACTTCCACCAGCTGTGTTAATTTCTGAATGCTAAGTAACTCAGATGTAACATGAGGATATTTCATAGGATTGCTGTGATGAAAATGAAGTACTTAATGTAGGGCTTGGTGCTCAGTTATCGTTTCCTTGAGAAAAAACTCTGTGTTAAGCTTGTGTCTACATGATTCCATGTCTGAAGAGTCCAAATTGAATGAGGGTATTGCCCCACTTCTTATTGGTGTGAGCGAGACCTTGGAAGCCCTTGTGAGTTATTTACTCCTGGATCAGTTGGATCGTGACTTGTTGAGCTTTGTTAGACTGGGGCCAGAAGAGCCTTTACTGTAGGGCAAGTGTAGCACGACTCCTCAACCGTGACGTTTCCGGGCTCTAAACCAATGCCTCCGGTGTTCAAGAAGATCTTTCCATTGTGGCTGGTTGTACCTCTTGTCTGAGCCCTGAAAGCTGTTCAGTGTACAGCCGCTTCTGCCACAGTAGTTCTTTCCTGGATGGTTTTTACGGCCTTTTGGGGCCTTACCTTCTGCATGTGCCGTTTAGCACTGAGTCAAACATGAAAGGAAACTCCTTGCAGATTCCTAGAATTCTTCCTCTGGGTTGCTTCCTTTTCTCTGGCCAGCAAATCCCCATTGCCTCAGCTCTTCAGTCTCCACCATCTCTGCTCAGGCCACCATGTCCTGCCTTGGTTTCCTCTTGGTGTCCCT